CGAGGAATGTCAAAACAGATCCAATTCGGCACATGGTCATATATAATGCAAAGGCCAAGGCCAGTTCTTTCCCCAGAAACCAGTGGGATTTGACTTCGTGTGACAGCGTAATATTGCCAAAATATCCGATGGCGTAGACAATTCTGCCGGTGAGGAGCAGGGCGAATGCAGCATCATTTGACATGGAATACGGTCCAATAGTAATCAACAACCTGCAAGATTTTCAACGGCTCTTTATTGCACTTGCTAGGATGCTGGTCATGCACTGAAGAATGGAAACGATATCTTACATTCCGACGAGCAGGAATACCGATGACACTATGCTCGCTATCCATACCCCAAATCTTCCAACGAAAAATCCCGTCAACAGTGCGGCAGTTCCTCCGGCCCAAAAATGCGCCACGAACAGACCGTTAAACTGCACCGAAGAAAAGTGCAAACAGTCGGGATCGTTGCCGTTCTGGCAATCGTCGGCAGTGCCCTGCAATCGGCCATTCAAAATTGTGATCTGTTCAACGATGAACTCCGACAAAAACGTAATACTAGTAGCCGCAAAGGCATATCGCCCTTTTTCCACCATGCTTATCAGGACACACGTACTGTACGTGGCACTTTTCAAGAAAAAGGTCAGATCACGTTAAATATTCTACATATCTGGAGCAGATGATGCGACCACGCAGAGCCCTATTATTTATTCCATAACCATATTCTCCATTCGACTGGCAAGATTATGACCGAAAGAAAGACAACTATGTCTGAAACCGATTTGCGAATGCCGAGGGCCCGGCATGTCATTTAAAAGCCAGCAGCGAAATTTGTCTCGAGGCCACAAAAAACTGTTGTTCACAATAATTTTTACATGCAACTTGTAAGTGGCAAGCACGTCTGCCGCATTTCATGTATATACAGTATGTGGGCCTCTGGCTGAAAGTAAATATTTGCAATGGATTCACCTTAATGATGGCAATGCTTTGTTCTACGCATGTATGAATTATAGCAGCTCAGTTTGATCCTGAAGTATAAATCCGTGAAATTAAAGAACTAAAACTTGATATGCGGATAATATTGGTTTTTTTCTTTGATTTACTCGTAGATTCAAAATTGGAATGCCAGCGTACTTTCAGTGACCTTTTACTTGATATTTACAAAATTTATTTGTGGAAGTATACGTACAGTGTCTCTGATCTCGCATTCCAATTGGATTCTGAGATATAACAACAAAAGAAGATCAAAAGGTACTGAGCTAGTGTTATGAATCGAAACAGAAATACAACAAAAAGTTGAGTGTGCGTAGCCGAAGTGAAAAAATCACAGGGCCAAAAGCAAACACAGCAAGGCAATTTCAGAAAATGGCAAAGGATAATAAATGCTTCCTACCAATACCGCCAACAGATCGTCGGATATAATTCGAGGTATAAGCTATGATAAACCTTGCTGCACATAATACTAGATCACATCGCCTGCTGTTGATCCGTCAACGAGCGGATGAAATCATCCCGCAAAGCCAACAATCTGGCCCCGAAATCACAGACCATATTGGGAAAAACCTTGCAGCATAATTTTCCAGGCAGCCAATACAGAAGTCCGTCATCCCTATAAACGAGCAAACGTTAATTGTGTGTAAGATAGGAAAGGCAAAAGTCTTTGCGCACCATTCACAATGGTACCGCTGGAATCCCTCATCATCACTCGCTGGTGGTGGATTTCGGGCATCGGTTATGCGAACCGGCAGGTGGTGCTTATCAAGGCGATCCCGGACCAGCTGTGGAATGGTTCGTAACAATTTTTCCGACAAGATATTCCACTGAATAGGGGCGGGTTTCGCTTGTGTATCATTATTGTCCACAGCTCTGTTGTTGGCCGGAACAGACTTTCTCTTCGCCACCTTAACTATGACTGGCGCCTTCCTTACAGCGGTCGGTTTTTGTTTCTTAGGAGGCGATTTCTTCGGACTAACACGCAGAGGAGGCGGTATAGCGGTGGCAATGTCTTCCCATTCTTCTTCTTCCGGAGCGGTATCCACAGATTTTGTAACGGTGCTGTCTTCTTTCTTGCTCCGCTCTATTAGCCGCAGAAGGAAAAATCAAAAAGTCAATCTTACTCCAAAAATTATGGAACCTTTTCGCGCTTGTTTTGTAATCAGTTCACACCTTCTCATAACCAAAGGCCGCCGAAATAATTGCTGCACAGTTTGAGCTACTCGTATACAACTCAGTGATAATCATTAACCAACAATAACATGGTAATTTTTTAATGTAAAACAATAATACTGCAAAACCCTAACGATACTATGAGAAAATACCTCGAAAAGAAAAAAATTAATAATTCATGAAATAAATCGAATTATTTAACTGAATGTGGTTCAATTAAAAATATCACAAGTATCGTGAGAACTGATGTGTAACCATTAAAAACTATCAGCTCGATGTTTCCCAGCCACTTACTGTTCGGAAACGTGTTCCCCTTCGACTGCGTGCGCTTCTTGGCTTTCTCCGGCTCCTGGTTTGCTGCAGGTTTCTTGCTCTCTTTGGAGTCTTTGCCTTTCTTTTTCTCCTCTTCGAATTTTTTGATTGCCCAGTGGCAGGAGCAGTTTTTCTCGCTCACCCAGCTGTCATCCTTCGATCCATACCCAGCCCAGCGAATTTTGTAGAATGTCTCCCCATTTTCCTTCTTCTTACTAACAACCGCTTCCACAACGTATGACGTCTCCTCCTGTGCAGGCTTCTTCGGTTTCGCCTTAGGCTTGCTCTTCTTTTCCGGTTCGATCAAAACAACTTTCTTTGGCTTCACTGCTGAACCATCGGGATTCAGGCGTTTCAGGTCTTTTTTGGGCGAACGCTTCAGAATGGATTTTGGAGTCGAGATCGTGGGAGTATTTCGCAACACCACTGTTGGTGTATTCTGCGGAACGTTCGGCGTGTGCCGCGAGCTGGATTTTGGAGTTCCAGACACGCTGTTTCGTGACGTGCTAGCTCGCGCGGGACTGTGCGACGAGCTCGGTCCAGCTTTTACGGGAGATGCTGATGGTTTTACGGGCCACGCTGGGGATTTCACTGGCGACACTTTCACGGGTGACGACGAGGTGCCAGACTTTGCTGGAGACGACACTGCTTTGCGAGCAGAGGGTCGCTTTACTCTCAGTGCTACATTAGGCATGATGCACTGCAAGGTGCTCCTCAATTTTGCTGGCTAATGTGAGAACAGAAGGCAATAAAGAAATGTCAGTAAGAGTAAGGACTTCATTAATTGTAAATTTTGTAAGCGAATCTTGCAAATGGAACAGTCCCCAACGATAACCACAATTTATTTGCTATGGTAATTTTTGGAATCTGGTAACCGAGTAACGGGAGGATGCGCAGCTCAGTAAGGACCCGTTACCAAGGTGTGTTCATACATGTACAGACCATGCCGTTACGGTGTTACCGCAAAAATGAATTATTCTGCTTTAAATATTTTGTATAAGGCTGTAAGCTTACAGTACTTTACTACTTAATTTTGTCACAAGCGCAGCTGGGCATTTGTGAATGGTCAACTGATAGTTCATCCGTCGTGTTAGGAGACTCCAAAATTTAATGGCGCTTTACAAAAGCATTGTATCTGAAAGAAAAAACAGCCATATGAAGTTTGAGGTGATAATTATTACTTATTAGCACATCAAATAGCCATGGAGTAGTAGTTTGTAGATATTCTTGATGGCTGAACTGGCGTACCGGAACACTGTGCATGTACTGAAATTTTGTGCAGTTTTAATAAACCATTAGTTATAATATTAATATTGTTTTAACAAACCATTAGTTTTAATATTAAAAATTCAATTCAATTTGTCTATGTGTCGGTCACTGTCGGATACCTTGTCTGCTGTCAGTAACCATTTCCAAATTTAAAATCTGAAAGATTTTTTTGAACCGGAACTTGATTCTTGATTCCCGATGCGTCTCCTGGTTGTAACCTTTAACATTTACCTATGTACAAATATTTCGGGTCTTTAAGCGACGACTGATTCTCACGAGGTTAAATACGTTCTTCGTTCTAACCGCTACGGTAAAACTGCCAGGTATACAATACTTCTGCAGTTTTACTGGATTTGAAGCTAAACAACTCTCAGAAAATTAAAAATTCCGACAGTTTGTCCAGTCACCTTACTTATTCTTTATCTACATTACAATGGCAATAAATGCGTTTTACGAGCGAGTAAGAAACGTCTGTCTGGGCATTCTACGCAGATCCGCGGCACCCTCAAAATACCAGGCCGTTTCGAAATTTTTGATCCCATTTGCAAAGCCTTTATCTCCAATTGCTTTTTGACTTCAGAGTATATAT